CAGGCTGCTGGTGAACTTGGAGAGGTAATTCAGTCATTGAATCAGGTGTATTAGATGAGAGAAACCACTAAAACATGATGGATAGTGGCCTTTGAGGACCAAGATTGGGTGGGGGCTCATTGGTGAGCATCTGGTGATCGAACCTTGGCTTCTGGGGCTCGACTGTGCCAAGCATGAAAGAACTGCACATGCCTCCTTCACATGGACCCACCACCTGCAGGGAGGATCATCAAGSTTRGGTCGATGCATGYCAGGCTGAGCGAGGGAGGGTCCCTGGCTGTGTCAACTCCTGGGGGCATAGACTAGCTCTCACTGGTAAGGAGCCAGAGCTTGTGTGTGAKGGTCAGGTCGTGTGATATAAACTAGATACTATAGTTGGGCTTACTTTTACTAACAGTTTGGGACCTGGAGCCCAACTCCTGGAAAGAGTCTGGACTCTCTTCTACTCTGGGGTTGCCCAGGGAAAGAGGCGTCAGGTGGGTGTGGGAACAAGCCTGCAGCTGAAGATAACAAAATTAAACATATTTGCGTTGCTTCCCTTTATTTGTTATGGTCCTCGAGCCAGGCCGTAACAATGAGAAGAAGTAAAACTTCTATAATCTGTCTCCAAAGCGTACTCTGTTTTCCTTATTCTTGTAAGACCAAAACAATCTTTTTACAAAGTTTTCTCCACTAAATGAGAGGGTTACGCCTCTGTGGCTTCAGGCTGTAGAGAGAAAGTTTTGACTGCTGTCTGCTTGACTGCTTATGTAACAAAGATCAGTCCAGAATACCCAGCCTTTTCTGAAGTCTCTGGATGGTGTCCTGGAACGGGTGTTATATGGGGATTTCTTTGTACTACTGGGTGACTTCAGTACCCATTGAATGCCCAATGATGGAGTTATCCAGAAGGGGTGCCTGCGAGGAACAGTGTCCCAGATCTGAACCCAAATGGTGTTCTGTTATTGGACTTCTGCGCTAGTGGAAGGCTAAAGGACTTTCCATGACAAACACCATGTTTGAGCATGAAGTGATACATAAGTGTACTTGGTACAAGAGCACCTTAGGCCAATGGTCAATGATCGATTTTGTGTCATCTGACCTCAGACCCTGTGTCTTTGATTTGGGTGAAGAGATGGGCATAGTTCTGAACTGATCCCCACCTGGTGATAAGTTAAGACTCTTACCATCATCAGTGTGTGAATGTGTGTATGAATGGGTAAATGGCTGAAGTGTAACGTGGTTTGGAGTCTGTATGGACTTGATAAAATGCTATATAAGTTAAAACCATTTACCTTTTGGTAGAGGGGGAGGTTGCCGGACAGATCTAGTAAACCCAAAAGTACAGTGAGGGTGAACTGTGAGTGTCTGGTGGAGCCGCCGTCTGTGTGATCTTTAGCTTTCACATTCAGGAGAACTTTTCCCATGTCCCAGGGGAGGTCGAGGACATGGAGTCCAAATGGGCCATGTACAGGGCCTCCATTGCAAATGTGTCTTCCAGGAGCTGTGGCCTGCATTGGTGCCTGTCACAGCAACTAAACGACACCGTGGTGGACACCAATGGTGATGGAGGCTGTCAAGCTGAAGGAGAATTCCTTCAGGACTCAGCTTTCCTAGAGGACTCCTGAAGCAGCTGATGAGTACACCATAGAGTTTAGATTTATAGCCCGAGTATAAGTCTGACTCAAAACCCCAACCCAAATTCGGGTCAAGTTTGGGCTGAAATTATTTGCTTAATGGTCAGGTCAGGTTCCCATGGCACGTTTTCAATAAGCCTACAATAGCCTACAGCACAGAGAAAACTAAACAATAATGAACGATCTAAAGTTGAGCTACAGATTATAGTCTACGTTTACCCTGTTGAGGAAAAGTGAAGCACAGCACAATGTGCTCCACTGTTATCTGATTTGCTAAAAACCCATCCATCCATTCATCCATCCATCATCTGTCCATCCATCCATCCATCATCCGTCCATCCATCCATCCATCCATCATCTGTCCATCATCCATCCATCCATCCATCTGTCCATCATCCATCCATCCATCATCCATCCATCCATCCATCTGTCCATCATCCATCCATCCATCTATCCATCATCCATCCATCCATCTGTCCATCATCTCTCCATCCATCC